AGACTGAGGTCATCTTTCAATCAGACTCATAGTGTTTGATACCTTCAGAAAGCAGATAGGAAGAAGAGACAGCACTGAGGCCACACCAACATCTAATAAATAGCTAACAGGGTGGAGAGAGTTGTGTCCCTCAGGATTCGTATCATGGAGTCCACGGCATGTGGGCAGAAGTAATTTTTTGGTGGCTGCCTTGTGGGGCCATGAGTACAGGTGGAACTTCGCCCCCCACCCTGGGGGGCGGTCTTCTGGGGAAGACCAGGGGAGGGTCTTCCTGGTTGCACAGGGGAAGAAGAAGGTGGGTTTACCCAGATCTCCAAGGGGGCATGTTCTCTCCTTTGTCCAATCAGGAGCTTGACACAGCATCCCCTTTGTCCTGACATTGCAACTGGGGATAATATATGTGGAAGTCACCTCATCCGGTCTCCTCTGGCACAATATGAATTCCTGGCTCTGGAAACCAGACTCTTTAGATCAACATCATTTATGAAGGCCGGACACATCGTGTCCCAGGGGCAGCCTGGAGTCTGGCAATGAGCACTGGACCTGGATCCGGGGCCGGGTGGGGGGAGGGGGACGAACATCAGAGGGGCCTTGAGCAAGCCACAGCCTTGCCTCAGTTTCTTTATTTACAAAACAAAGAGAATAGACTGGGGTGGTCTCAAGGAGCTTTCTGCATCCAGAGCTCCGTGTGGATCTTCCTTGGGCTAGGATTTCATTTTGTGCTCCAAAATTTGCCATTAATTAAAATTCAATTAACAACCTCAGCCAGGAAATCCGAAGTGAAGGGCTGACACTTCTGATTAATTGAGAGTGGCAGAAAAATAAAATGTGGGGGGAACATGTGACAGGCGTTTCAGCATCTTGCTTACCCTTTATTGAACTGACTCTGTCTGAATTGACTTAAATCCCCAAATGCTTCTTCCCTATTTTTTATATTTCACTCAGGAGCAGTGTTAACCAGCTGCTGTGTTCCACCTCAGTAGGGACTGCTTTTGGCAACAAAGGAAAAGATTTCCCTGAGTGATTCCTTATACTTTTTCAGAAGCAAAGGGTTTCAAACTGGCGGCCCGTGGGGGGTTGGGGGGGTGGGGACATGATTAACTGCCCGGAATGTTACAAATTGGGGAGGTTTTTATATAGCAACCTAGGTTATTAGTCTCTCTGAAAAATGATAAGCCCCAGACTTCCATTCTCACATGGCAAAATGGCTAGAGCTGGGCAGAAGTTCTTCCCTTTAGCTGAGCAGGCATATCCCTGTTTGCCACAGACCTCACCACTCCCTAATGCATTACACCCATCCAGATTTTTTTCATATACCCAGTTTGCCTGGTTCTTACACAAACATGATCTTGGCACTGACAAGCTCTAAACACACAGAAGAATATCAGTTGCTGTGGGAATTGATTGCAGCCCCTCTTTCAAAGCTCTCATTTTAGAGGCTCAGAAACTGAAGTCAGGAGACAGGAAAGGACTTGTCTGAAGCCACACAGTGAACCGGGTCACCGTGGCTAAGCTAGGTCTCCTGACTCCTAATCCAGTGCTCCCTTGTCCTCAGAATGGACCACACTTCAGCCTAGAATGTGACCTATACATTTCCTAGGGAATTCAATTTTGTGAGAGTTCCAGTGTGGTGATTTACTGTCCCCTGTTGCAATTTTTGTCATGAATATTCCTGGAGGACATTTTTTTTTTTTTAAGTTTGTGGTTCCTGCTGCTTTTTCTGTGCATCTCTGGAGACAGATGTACACAGTGTCTCCATAGCAACTTTCTGTGATAAAAAATAAAGGCTTCTATTTCTCGGATCTAGGCACACCCTGATGAAAGAGCAAGAAAATAGTGCAACTCTTCATGAGGGGCAATTATAATCGTGACACCATGGAGGACATGCATTTGACGAGCTCAGTGTTTAATAAACAGTGTTTCATGAACAGACCCAGGATTAACTCTTCGCTCTGCCATTACCCGGTTGTGTGACCTCATGCAAGTCACTTAGCCTCTCTGAGCCTCAACTTCCTCCTCTCCCAGCTGGGGATTAGAATTGTGCCTCCTGGGGCAGAGCTGGCTAATGTACCCAAAGCATTTCCTCAGCATAGAACCTGGCCCATTGCAATTATGTTAAAAAGTGGCTTTTAAAAATTATATAACCATGGGGCGCCTGGGCGGCTCAGTCAGTTAAGCGTCCGACTTCAGCTCAGGTCACGATCTCACAGTTTCTGGGTTCAAGTCTCGTGTCAGGCTCTGTGCTGACAGTTTAGAGCCTGGAGCTGCTTGAGATTCTGTGTCTCCATCTCTCTCGGCCTCTCCCCTGCTTGTGCTCTCTCTGTCTCTCAAAAATAAATAAATGTCAAAAAAATTAAAAATTATATAACCACAATAATTATCAACATTTTACCACTTTCTTTTTTTTAAATTTATGTTAATGTCTTATTTATTTTTGAGAGCGAACAAGCGCACAAGTGGGGGAGGGGCAGAGAGAGGGAGACACAGAATCCAAAGCAGGCTCCAGGCTCTGAGCTGTCAGTGCAGAGCCCGATGTGGGGCTCGAACCCACGAACCGTGAGATCATGACCTGAGCTAAAGTTGGACACTTAACCAACCGAGCCACCCAGGCCTCCCTACCCCTTTCAAAGTGAGTTGGCATGGTGTTTCCTGAGGTTCTTTACTAACGTTGTGAAATAGGCAGGGATAAACATTATTCTCATAGTGTGGGGAAGGGCACAGGTGTAGGAAACATTCTAGGTGCCTGCTCTTTCAACTACCTTTACTTATCTAAATATTACCTCTTGTCAGGGTGCCTGGGTGGCTCAGTCAGTTGTATATCTGACTCTTGATCTCTGTTCAGGTCATGATCTCACGGTTCGTGGGTTCGAGCCCCACACTGG